ATTATCTAGCACTTTCTGATCCTCATCTTGAGAACTCGGATCTTCGGATAACTTAGTTTTGATTTGTTGATCTTCTTTGATGGCCGAAGTTATCTTTAGTGAAGCTGCTTCTATGTTCTTCGGCAAATTAGCTATATGGGCCCTGTGAGACTGAATTTTGGCATTCAGTTCGGCTAGTTGAGCTTCTAGTCTGCTTTTTTCATCCTCCATGGCTTTTAGTTCAGGCTCCAAGGTTGTCAAGGAATTTCTTGTAGTCTGGATATGAGAGTGAAGATCTTTAATCTCCAGCTTCTTCAAAGATCTATCTTTCTACAAAGCAGCCCTCGAAGATATGTTCTTGGTTGTCCTTCTCACCATGGCAAAGTGGTCATCAAGATGGGCTGCAGATTCTAGGGGGGCCTTGAGGGCAGAAGGGATATCTTCATCAATGAGTTCAAGGAGGTCTCTTATCTGATCTCGCATCCTGAACCGGACTAATGGTATCCTTGTTCAATGCAGAATGATCACCTCTTTTAGCGAGCCCGATTTTCCAAATGATAAGGTTTGTTGAGAAGTAATCTCTTCACCTTTCTCAATGATGTAGTCCTCAATAGAGAAGGAGTAGCGGTGGTGGTCGGTTTAGTAATGTTCTTCTAAAAGAAAAGAGAAGAAAGAAGGTGTTAGCCGATTGGGTGAATTTGCTAAAATATAGTGTAAGACAAGGCATTACTCATTGAATCGATTGATCATCGAGGATGGGTTATACCACAGCTTCTTTGGAAGACTTGGTGAATGTTCGGAAGGGACGGGTTTGGAGCTTGATCGGGGAGAAGTTTCCCTTGCCGCCTGTCTAAGATTTCATCTATAAAGTAAATGATAATGAGCATAAAGGATAGATGTTATTTAAAAAGAAAAAAGAAGAAAAAAGAGAATTGGTTGAATGATGTTACCTATAGTCTCATCAGATTTATGAGCCTTTGAACCTTCAGCTTCATGAGTCTCTGAAGCTTCACTGTCATGGATTTCTTCATTTTCGATAGAAACTTCAGGAGTTGGTTTTACAGTTCTTTGAGGTCTTTGCCTAGTCTGGGAATTTTGACTTGTGGTCGCAATGGAAGTAATGAATATAGAGGTGGTCAGGTTTATTGCTAAGTGGGGTTGTTAACCTGATAGAGGATAAAAGGTTCATACCTTAAGAGATGATTTGGCTTTCTTGGTCCTTGGTTTCTTGGGTAAGAGAAAACTTTCAGGTGTTTTCCTTTTGCTTTTTCCTCTTGAAGATGCAGCAGCTGAAGTAGCAGGAGTTCTCATGAGTACCTTTAGAGGTACTGAATCCGAAGTTGCAGGAATTTTCATGAATTCCTTTAATTTTGGAGCATCAAACCCCAGAGCAGGCTTGGGACCAGCCGAATAGTCTTTGGATTGCTTTTGGCGGGGGAGTAGATTCAAGATCCTGTGCATAACTAGATGTTAAAATAAGAAGTGAATTCAAGAGCAGGAAATGGTGAGCCTAATGAAATTACCTCACTATCAGAAGCAAAATCGGGCTGCAAGTTTTTGCATAAAGGATGAACTGATATATTGAAGATATGAGCATGCCATTCTTGCCACCAAGAGACAAAGAAGGGATGAGCAACATCTATTAGCCCAAATGGAGATGGTTCGTATGTTGGCAATTCCCATCCTAATTCAAAGATTTTCTTGGCTTCCATTCTTTCTGTTATTACTTCCCTTGGCTTTATGATTGTTGAGAAGAGGAATCTTGGGGGCAGCTGGCCACATCCTAATTGTCTCCGCCACCATATTTGGATAGTAGAATTCATAGGTGGACTGCACTAACCTCCCATGATGAAATTGGCAGAGTGCAAGGTTTGATAAAGGAGTTGAAGATCTCCGTGGATTCTTGACTGAACAACCAATTTCATAGCTAAACTTGCTTGAGGCAAAGTCAAATTTTCATTTTCTCTGTAAGGGAACCAGAGCACATTACCGAATCCTTTGAAAAACAGCTTGAAGAAATGACCAATGTCTATGTCAATGCTGATAGATGATGCTGCTTCCCCATAAGTCTGACAAGCCTTAACCTTTGCTGTGTTGCCTTCAGCATAGTTAACTGAAGGAAAACTTAGATTGAATAGGCTCACAGAGGTTATCTGATGCATGTATAGCTGGAGCCACATCTGAATTAGCCACCAGGGACCATTCACACAAGAGATTTCTCCACCTTGGCGCATCTGAAGAGTAATCTGATGCATCATATGATAAACAGACCCCAAAAGATATTTGCCTAGTGGGATCTGAGTGCCTGCAGCTAAATCTTCAGCCATCACCATATGATTCAGAGTCGGTTCATTGGATTTTCCACAGAAGATAAATCTGCATAGCCACATGTTCATGAAGACTTTCAACTCTTTGTCAGAAATGATGCCAGATGCATTCATGTAGTTCTGGATGTATTTGACCCATCCACATCCAGAGCTAACGGCTCTTTGATTACTTTTGCTCTTGTACTTATGAGGGTATACTGGTAGTGACACATTCAAGCCAGTCATCATGAACACGTCGGCTAGAGTGATGGTCATCATACTATGGCTGAAGATGAAGGCATTAATGGTGTCAGACCAAAAATGGGAAGCTGCTATCAAAAGGGAATTGTTTCTGGGTGTTTCTGCTAAGGATAATTCCAGACAATGACTAATGTCTTGACTTTCCCAGTGGCTGCTGCTTTTCTCCAGCATTCTCCTGTACCAATTCCGCCATCCAGCGATTGGGGGAAATGGCCAATTCTTGAACGTGTTTGGCCATCGGTTTGGCAAGGTGATCCCAGATTTGAAAGGGATTCTTTGGGTTTCCTTCTCGATAATTTCAAAAGGGTCAGGATTTCCCATTGGGCCGAGGAAATAGGAATCAGGGTTGGCAGCATAAGGGATCAAAATCTGATTCTTGTATTCCTGTAAAGGGTGATTGAAATCAAAGAGGAATGAGCCAAAAGAAGAACGGAAAGATCAAGTGGAAATTGCCGAATATAAGTGAAGTTTACCTCTGGAATTTCATCCTGGGTCGCCATTGAAGATTCGAAGTGGGTCCGAGGTTGCGCTGAAAGCTTGAATTTTTGGACAGCGGCTGCGGTGTTGAACGGTGCTGACCTAGGAGGGAGAAGGAGCTTGTGGTCAATTTCAGAATAAAACAACTTTTATCCCGAAATTGAGGGGGCATGTGTTAACACTGGATTTTGGTCGACTTCGGAAGATGACAGGTGGACCCGCATACAGGAAGAAGGACATTCGGCAAACAAAACGAGCGGTCGGCTAAATACTTGTGCGGTTGGTTACTTCAGAAGGTGGTGACTCCATTTGGGAAAGCAGAAGATGGCAGGCAAAGCCGATCGAAAAGATGAAAGTTGTAATAATAAAGGACTCTGAGAGTTTAGGGCAAGGAATCGTAGTTTCCAAGTTTGTTTAAGAGTTCCTTTGTAAATCGTAGTCTTTTAGGACTCGTGTTTTGTCTAGGGTATAAATATTGACCCTCGACCATTGTAAAGGAGGTTCACAACCAAATCAATACAACCGGCCCCGTGCCAACTTTCGAGTCCTTTTGTCGTGTCGTCGAGTTCTTTGAGAGGAGTCATCGATCCGTCGACCTCCGTAAGTTCCGACAACCTTGTTATCATGTTTAGTATCATGCGGTGGATTTAGACGTGATGCAAGTAGTCTTGTTTGTTTTCAATGATCGTGCGGCGGATCTTTGTTTGACAAGCAAAAAGTCTTTGCTTATGCTTTGTTTATGAGTAGATACCGTGCGGCAGGCGTTTGCTCAATATGCTTAGTGAAGGCAACACAGTTATCGGCTCTATTAGATACGGCAAAATCTAAATAGATTCATTAAGTTATCCTGTGTTGCATGTTTTAAATATTTTATATATTTGTAACACACTTATGCCCAATCTAGATTGATATTGTTCGGCCCTCTCTTATGGTTTTATTCGTGCTTCAATGATCATTACTTTCGTATTACCTTTGCAAATAGATAACATGCTCGTAATGGCTGAATTATTTTAATCTAGATTGTCATATGTCGTGGGTTCATGCATGTTAATTACGTTTAAGCTTTGACGAAACTAGGTGTCGTGCGGCAGATGCAGGTTTTAGATTAGTTTAATCGTGTTTATTTGCGCGTTCCTTCTTCATGGACCCCAACTCGGCTGGATTGCTGAGCTTGGTTATGCATTAACTCATGATTAATTTCACTTGTTCAAACATGTCTTCCCATGCACATGCATTCGGCAATCGGATCTTTACGTATGCTCATCTTACGATTAGCCGAATGGTTTATAAACTTGCTGGCAGATAGCTTCCTATAGCTGTATGTCGTTGTAAGTGGCTTCAGAGCCGTATATATGGAACTGTCTGGTCTCACCCGACATGTTCCGGTTTGACATTTAACTGTTTTATCCCTTGTTAGTTTTTTCAGGTCAAACTGACTGGCACGTTTCCGGATCACGAAGCACCCGGGCACCCAATTGAAGCTACGCTTTCCGGCTTGCTGTGTGTGGGGCACAGTGCGTCACATTTTGTGTCAACAGTTACTTGTAACAAAGTTAGGGTATGGTTCGTTGCCATATTCTCAGATTATAAAAGCTTCGACTCTTCCAGGGTGCCATTTGGTTCACTTGATGTTGTGCCTTGCCACACCTCCCCACATATTTTTTTTTATCAACTTTGCCTAAGTTGGGGTTCTAGATATGGTCTAGAGTCTAGACACCTTGATAAGGAAACAAAGTATGTGGCACTCAACTAGGTATTCTCTAAATTTGCTGAACATGATTATAAGAAGCATGAGATACATGCCAATTAGTTTTTTTTTAATATCAGGAGCTATTTATGGTTAGATGCATTAGTTCACGAACTTTGTACGTTTCATTCATCTATAACGTTTCAGATTAATTTGTTTGCTGCTCAGTTCATATACTAGTTGACAAAGCAATCATTGGATCTTAACTACCATTTGTAGTACATTTTGCAATGAAGAGAGTATGCCACATTTTTTGCTGTTGATTCTTAACACCCTAACATGCTACAAAATCCACTAAAAATCTATGTCATTAGACCAAGAAGAAAAAATGTGCAAAGCTGGTTGTCTTGCTGATAGAGTATCTGTCAATAATTCATTTATACAAGCATTCACATCCTGTTGTGTTTATTCTGTTGTTACACATTTCTATTTGAGTACATGTTCAACCCTTTGATTTCTAACAAATTGTTAAATTGCAGGAATCTGAAGACTTGCCTCTTTGTAGCCCTTGCCGAGGAATCTATGTACTAGATCGTGCATTGTTGGAAGTTGATCTTTGGGTGAAAAAGGAAGAGGAGGGATCAACCGATGAACGGTTACTTTCTGAGTATGTTGAGATTTGCTTGCGCTCCAGTTTCAATAAGATGCGCACGGGGCGGATTCACAGAGAAGATGCAATCTTGGATATGGACTTTATGTTCCTTTCAGAGAGTGTTGAGGCAGTTATAGAGGTGTTCACAGGTGTTGACAGTCCTCAGCACGTGAGATTCATTGCTTCCAGCAGTTATTTTGATAAGGAGATTTTGCTTTTCGAGGGGAAATGTTTTCAGGGCAAGCTCTTTACGCATGTGGTTGCAGTGACGGTAGAAGAAAAACTGAGTATTCGCTTGGAATGGGAAAATCCACATTTGGAGTGGACCTTTCAGGATGGAGTTGTTGGAGCTTTAAGTTATCCTGATGATGACTCGGTTCCATTTTATGTGAGGGTGTTCTTTGCTCCAAAGAACCTGGGACGCGGACCATCAAGATACGACGCTTTGGAAGAAGAGGTGTAAAAACAAGGGGACAACTTCCAGTAGTGGGTTGCTGAAAGTTTGATGTATGGCTTCTTTAGCAGTGTGGTTCAGTGTGCTATGTTCAACGCACGCTCTCTCATACCTTAATATTTGAGATATGTTGCTAGTCTTGATCTGTTGATGTGGCGATTCTTGTAAAGTCTGCATTATGTTCAGAGTTATTCTCAGATATTTGAGATATGTTGCTAGTCTTGATGTGTTGATGTGGCGATTCTTGTAAAGTCTTGGCTTTGATGATGCTATTTGTGTTCACTGTCTAGACTGGACCCAAATTTGTGGGAGCACTGCGCTTGGTGCTGAGTCCGGTGTTGAACAAAGCGTTTGGTTCTTTTTCTGGCATTCCTCTTTGCCACAGGTCACTTGCAGCAGCAAGGTTCAAGCAAATCATTATCTGCTGAACTGGGAGACAACAGTCGAATGACATGCTAGACGTGCAAACACAGGCTTGGAAGATCATGCATAGTGCAGTGTATTAATCAGGACCAAATTGTTCCGGCGTCTACAGCATAAGTAGAGTATGACACACGACTACTACCAGACGTCTAGACCACAACGGTATTAAGCTACCACAGATTTGTAACTCAATAGACATCCCAAAAAAAGAAAGAAGGTTTGGACCTCATCAGTACATTTTGTAACTCAGTAGCCATCCCAAAAAAAAGAAAGAAGGTTTGGACCTCATCAGTACACAAAAGAAACAGGGAGCCACAGCTCCAACACAACCAGCCCACATCTGCTCCGGTCTTGAGAGCTCCTCCAGCTTCTCCACCAAACACTTGTGCACCTCTAAATTCTCATGGAGCACAGCAGACCCCAGCCCTTCAGCACAGCAGTTGCAATCCACCATAGCTGTTTTAATCCCAGCCATCGACTACTCTCAAAACAAATCAGATTTCTTCTTTCCACGAGTTACATAGGACTACAAAAGTGACAAAAATACCAAGGGCTTTTTCAGCTCGTAACAAAAAACACCTTGATAAATGATAAATGGAAAGCACAAGAAGAGATAAATTCACAGAAGGCCACAGTAATTGTCAAGATGCCAGCACCAACCACACTTGCAGCACCATCTTCATATCCTGCCTGCTTAAGATGTCATTTACCTAGCATCCTTAGTAGTAGGAAATGGAGGGAAGTGTTCTGTGAGAAATCCCCAACTTGAATCATCCAAATCCATTTTATGGCTATTTTTTAGCTCATTTTCCGCCCATATTGGATCCACGGGTCCTTCTTTGGACAAATGCATGGGCATATCCCTAAGGTAAAAATACCCACGCTTATGGTTAGGTCTGTGCATAAGCTGGATATCCTCTAGAGCAATCTTTGCCTCCGCTACATCACTATTAGTAGCCATCCCTTCTCTTGCATATGTTTGTTTCTTATCTTTAGTTTTGCTACTAAATTCTGTATCTTTTTATCGCTGCTGCTCTATAAATAGTTGTACATGAGCTTTTCCACATTCTTGCATTACCAATTGGCTCTTTTCCCACCATAATTGCTGCCCTAAAGTTTTTGAAGATGTTTCCAATGAAGAGACTATCAGACCTTCCAGCTTCTGCAAGATGTAAAATGAAGGTTTCACCAGCACTAATCACTTGAAAAGTTGAGGGTCTGGGCACTTGTTCTTCAACGTGAGCATAGAGAATGAGAAAAGAGTTAACCAAAGATCGATCTCCACATCTTGTATAGGCAGCCTCATCATAGTATCCACCATCCCAAGGAAGTTTTTTTGCATGCTCAATATACTGTGGTTCTGTATCTGTTTCTGAGCTCCCACGGATGCGAAGATCTTTGATGGTTCTTCCCGTACTTCTTCTAGTTATGTAACCATCAAGATAACCAGATGCTCCATCAATGACAGCACGTACATAATCCATTTTGCATGATAATGGACATAAATAAGGAAATGCCCAGAATCAGGAAGCGTACAACACCGCCTATTACCATCTCCAAATTCATAGCGCAAAGTGGTATTGTTGAAACACCAGAGGCGGTAATTTAGAACAGTTCTTCGTCATCTTTACCTTTCGAATCCAGGGTTCAAGCTCGGGCACCCGATTAAGCCACGTCGCCCGTTATCCCACAACCGTAGGATCTGGCGAAGATACAATGTGGACCGTTCGATCGGGCTCGTAGCGGGTCTCCCATCCATTAAGGCACGAGCCCGGAAGGTCAGGAATGCTCGCGAACCGACCCGTCACCTCCGCGCCGCGTCTCCCTCCTCCCGGCTGCTCCCCCGTCCCCCGCACCTCTTCCCTTCTCCTCCCCAGGCACGGCGCGAAGCGGGCAATGCCGGCCGCACTTGGCGCGGGCGAATCGAGTTGGGCGTGAGGTGAGGCAGGTCATGAGCACTGGTTCCGGCGTGGGGCAGCGGCGCCGGTGGAAGGGCGGCGCAAGACACGGCGACCTCGCCTGCCGCTCCGCCCACCGTGTGCTCTACCTTCCACGCCGCTGCATCAGCAAGGACGCACCCTTCTTGTCTGCCCCAGCGCCTTTTGCCTAGCCGCGGGATGCAGGCCGAGGAAACACACGCGATGCGCTAGGAGGCGGCACGCATCCGACTTCATAGCGCGCTTCTGTGCGTGGCTGCCGCCACCGTAGCCCGACTGCCGTGGGTCATGTCGTGTAGCAAGCCTGCGTTGGCGCACGGACGTGGTTGGCTTTGCGCCACGCCTATCGACGGCAGTTCGCAGATGGCTGGGGATGGTGCCAGTGCCAGCCACTGTCGTGCACACTGCCTGCTTGATGAAATGCCATGGTGCGACGTCACGGGGCTTCGCGGGCTTCGTTTGCAGGATTGGCCACGCTGCTATCGCACCATGTCGCAGGCAGGCACACCTGTGGTCCTTCACCTGATAGATATGGACAACAACGAGGACGAGGAGAGCAGTGACGCCAACTGCGTCTTGTTCGACCATGAGACCTTCCCCAGCTGGTGGCGGACTACGACAATCCCTCTGAACAACACCTATAGGCATCTCTATGACACAGGTACGCAAACAACTGAAGCAAAGAAATGCATCAGAGTTGCCAGCTCAAACACTTCTATTACTTCAATTCCAACATGTATATAACAATAAACTTCCTTGATTACATTTTTGTTTAATTTACATGATATGGATTTAAGAGGGGCAAAATCAAAATGCTGGAGTGAATGATAAATTTTTAGGCCAATCATACACAGAGAAGGAGCTCATCGATAAGATTTGTAGTTAATTCCATGATACTTTGTATATCTCAGTTTGTAAATTTCATCAACATCAATGTGTTATTCACTAAAAAGTGTATTTTTTCACATGAATTGTGCGGCTGCTTCTGATTCAATTGTCAGGCTGTCCAATGCATTAATCACATTAATCTTATATTATAATATCAAAATACATGTTGCTTTCAAGTTACTTTTCTTTACTGTATATGCTGAGCTGCCGCTAGCTCCACACCTCAAGTATAGTCTTGGCTCTTAATTGTTTCAACTGCATTGTTTTAAAATCCTAAATTCTGTACTATAAACATGCTTCTGTGTGATAGCAAGTTCTACAGTAGATGGTCATTGCAGAGTGCTCCCTCCTAATTTTAATTCCATGACCCTCTTGGCCTCTCCGTTTCTTTATTGCACTTGCAGAATTTTACATGTATTTTGTAAGATAGAACAACAAGTGCAAGGCGAGATTAGAATCCTAATCCTGAGGCCATCATCATTGACCGACACCCATAATCCAACACCAGTTTTGCTGCAATCGAGTTGACAACGGCATTATCATCGGCCACCGTCCTTAAGCCCGATTGCTGGTTTCAAAGGCTCCCGTGGGTGAGACAAGAGTGCAGGAACCACAAGGTAAACAATCCTCATTCAACTCCTACTCTTGATCTATTTACTTGGGTTTGTAAATAAACCAGATTCCAGTTGTTTTAAATCATCTAGATCCCCTTTGTTCTTAATTCACTTGGCTAGATCATCTAATTTGAGCGCTGAAAATCACTACCAATAGTTGCGAATCATCTGCCTCCTCTCTATTCTTAAATTACTCGGCTAGAGCATCTAAATTTAGTCCCGAACAAAACTAAATATATAGCGAGGACCAGAATGAAAAGTGGATAAAGGAAAAGGAGGTGGGTTGATACCATTGCTAACTTCTACACCACACAAGCAGCATTTATCTACCATTTCCTCTGAAATTGCCATACAATTTAGCTTTCTATTCAGGTTACATAGCTGTTGAATCGAATCGAACTGGTATTTATTAACAAGAACTACCAAATCATTAGATAAATATATTCATCGGAAGTGCACCAAACAACGAAAAAAAATATAGACCTGAAAAAGTAGCCAATATTGAATTCTTTGCTTCATTTTTAGACTAGTAGTGATCCTTGATTCAGATCTTTTAGCATTACATAGGAATATTTTGCATCAAAGAGTCCCTTACAACTTAATCTAAAATACTTCTATTGTTCATGTGGAGGGTGACCATGGTGAAACGGGTGGACCCGTAATTGTTGGGAGCAGGTGAACCTCTAATCGTTTGAAGCTGATGTTGAAGCTCTGGTTTATGAGGGTGCTAACATTAACAGCTTTATATTGTTTTAATAGCCTAATCACTTAATCGTTACGACCAAATTTGTACTGAAAAACATATTGTAGCCACTCAGACATTCAAAGCAGAACTACCCAAAGCTTTATATTTACCTATAACATTCACACGTAATTATGTAAAATAAATTGAGATGGACTCAAATAGTAGCCATACAATATTTGTAGTTCAAACTTTCGTGCATGAATTCTTATAGGTATATATTGTAATACATTGATAGCTCTGTTAAAGTGTTAATTATACAGGCTCAATCTAGGAAGGGCGCGGCAAAGCCGCGCCTGGTTTTCTAGTCTATATCGAACTTCCATACTGTTCCCATTCAGATCAAGTATGTCATAGTTCTACAAAAAAAAAAGATAAGAAATTTTACTGTTCAGTAACAATGTAAAGGAAAAGGAAAAACATGAATGAAGGAAAATAAGCTATCTAAACCCGTTGTTGTATACATCCCGCTGTTGAGTAATTTAAAATCAAAACCCCTGTAAGTCAGAACCTACTCGTTGATATCCCTAGAATTGCATATTGGGAAAAAAAAACTAAGCTTTGCTTAAATCAAAACTCCTGCAAGTCGAACCTACCTATTGATGTCGCTAGAGTTGCAGATTGTGGGGAAAAAAACTAAACTTTGCTGAAAATACAAAAGACAAAGCCTTTTCTGAGTTGAGAATTGATAGAGTTGCAGATTGTGGAAAAAAGACTAAACTTTGCTGAAAACACAAAAGACAAAGCCTTTTCTGAGTTGAGAATTGAGACACACCCGAGCATGCCGACCAAGAGGAGCGGGCCTTGTATACGGAATGGCTCGTACTAACACATGGTCCGTCAGGTCCTCCATCGCCACCAGCTCCCGCTTCTCCCTGCCTTCCCTGCGCTCCGTCACCTCCTTTCTCTCCCACAGCGATTGCACCTCCGCTGCAGTACGGTTGGTCCGTTCCTTCACTATCGCCGCCGCTACCACCATCCTCCTCATCACCACCTGCCCCTCCGAGGTAGTACGGCCGGTCCCGTTTTCTGCCGCCCTGGCCGCGGCCGTCGCCGTCGCCGTCGCCGTCGCCGCCACCTCCTAATGCTTTTCCCTATTCTTGCATTTGCTCTATTTCCACCTCCCCTGTGGCTCTCTCACTCCTCCCGCTTTCCCTTTCAGCAGCACCAAGCTTGCATTATTTTGGTGCTGGCTGGAGACGGAATCAGAGTGTGAGGGTTGGGCTGGGGAAGAAGAAAGGAAAGAATGCACGTACGGAACTCACTTCTGTGTTTCCAAGGGCCGGCTTCAGTGGGATTTTTGCTTCGGGCTTTGGGAGTTTGGGGGACACCCATTAATCGTATTTGTCACTCGGTCCATCTGGTCTCTCCGAAACATTAAGTGGGTGTTTGGTTCCCTCCTCGTCTTCTAAATCCAGTCTTATTAAGTCTTCTAAATCCAATCTTATTTAGTCACTTTTATCAAACACTATGATTAAATAGGACTAAAAAATACATTAACCAACTGTCATCCAAGTGTGCTAAATGAGACTAAAACACACCTTTTAGTCAGACTGCCTCACATTTTAGTCATTTTGATCCAAACATCCTGACTAAAAGGGACTAAAGGCCTCTTTTAATCTTTTTTAGTCCACCAAACCAAATAGGGATGACTAAACTTTAGGACCTGATTTAGGTGACTATGTCTGTTTGGTTTCTCATGACTAAAATTTAGCTACTAAAATCAATGACTAAACTTTAGTCACCTCTATTTGGTTCTGGTGACTAAAAGTGACTAAAGGTCATTAAAGCAGTTCAAGAAAGACCAAACTACTCTTAATAAATGCCCAAATCAGGGTGAGGGACTAGCAATAATGAGGGGCAACCCTTATCCACTAGGCACTTTAGCCCACTTTTAACTACTCTTGGGTGACTAATGTGACTAAACTACTTTAATCCAGTTTTAGTCAGTTTGTTTGGTAGTTTAGTAGCTAAAGTAAAATTTGGTAGCTAAACTTTAGCAGGGGAAACCAAATAGGCCCTAAACTTTAGAAGGTGTGAACCAAACACACCCTAAGACTCTACGAGAGTGCTCCCTCTGCCTAGGCGTTATATAATATTTGTAACATAAATTAAGAATTAAAGAAAATGATTTAGTCCTATTGTCCAGATCCAGGGGCTAAAATTTAGTCATGTCACATCGGACGTTCGAATGCTAACTAGAAGGACTAAAGATGAGCTAATTATAAAACTAATTGCACAAGAGTAGATTAATTAGCGAGATGAATCTATTAAGCCTAATTAATCCATAATTACCAAATGTTTACTGTAGCACCACATTGTCAAATCATGGACTAATTATACTTAATTGATTCGTCTCGCAAATTAGCCTCAATCTATGTAATTAGTTAATACTCTTAATTAGCCTATGTTTAATACTCTTAATTGGTATTAAAGATTCGATGTGGCAGGGCTAAACTTTTGTCCAAATGAAACAAACACCCCCACGTCTATATGCATAATCGTAAAATAATTTCGAACGGATGGAGTAGTGGGTATAATAAGTAGTATCAATACAAATTTAAATAATATTATAGTATTTTTCTTTGTACAACAAAATTTATAAGGTCTTTCTTGGTAAGATAGAATATGACTTATTTAGCAATGGGGTGGCAAAAATTGTTGCATTAAATTTTATAGAGCCCAATTCATTCCCCTCTGAGGTCATTTAGTCCATACAGAAGGAAACAAATTAAACTAACGGTAGTGTTGGAGGGAGAAAGGAATGGAAGATAAACGCAATGTGAAATAATGAAAATTGAAATTTCCAGGGATAAGGAAGAAAGGTGATATTTTTTAGTGTTAAATAGAAAAATTTCTCCTCTTACATACTCACTCAGTTCCAAATTATAGTTTGATTTAGCTTTGTCTTAAGTTACATTTCATTAACTTTAACAAAGCTTGTAGGCAAATGGACCAATAATGAAATTTGCTTCATTAAATCCTCCATGAATTACATTTTGAAAGTGTATTTATCAACTTGTAGGCAAGGTTTTAAATCTCCAGTTATAACTGTAGCTATAGTTGTTTGAGAAGAATTTAGCTATATTTTCTTATGTACAATTTAGCCGTTAGCTGTCGCTATAGCCCGATATGATCGGCTATTTGCTGTTTCAGGAGATAGACCGCTAAATGCCTTAACTGGTGATTAAAAACACTGCTGTTAGGTGTTAAAATATTTTTTCCTAAAAAAATTGTTCAAAGCCAAAGAGATTTGGACCAAACCATAGGAAACTATAAACAAAGGGGAGTATGAGCATGTTTGGATGACCTAATAACTATTGGTTAAATTAAAGTGAGCCCAAATTAGTCCTCTTTGTTCAGCTAATGAGCTAATGGTGTGCGAAAGAATTAACCGTAATATTAGCCTTTCACCTGTTTGACGGGCTAATGGCTAATTTTAGCCAACACTCCAATTAATCCATCGCTTTTGGTCCATCCAAACACGCTCTATATTAGAAGCATTTGTATATACCATGAATCTTTTGACAAGCACAATATTTATCTTTGTAGAACCCAGTTTAAAGCATGCACAGTACATTAATAAGAACTTAAAGAAGTGAGGTGCCCTTGATTTCGAGACGAGGTGCAGGGGCAAGTGTCCTATAATCTAGCTTAGCCCAGCTAAAGTGAAAAGACAAACGAGTTTGCTCCTGCACCTTATACCGGAGCCATACAAGCGAGGGTTTTATTGATGCTTATATGTACTGTATATCCACATTCTACGACCCGTAG